AACTCCGTTTTCGTCTGTCTTTTTACGTTGAGTTCCTACTAATGAGATCTTCAACTCTCATTTAGGTCGCGTAGGCCAAAAACCGTTCGAACTAAAATTCGAGTTTCGGGTCGTGCACTGTTATGCCAAATCTTAGAAAATTCATAACTTCCTCATACGAAGTCAGATTTGGGCGTTCTTTTTTTGTATGTTCTCGGTTTAATGTATACTACAAATTTTGTTTAGATCACTAAGGCTAAAAAGTCTTCTACCGTAAATTCCCTATTTACGTCTCCCGGTGCCATGCCGGTTTTGCCGTAAAACTTCGACGAGCCATAACTTCTTCGTTATAACTCGGATTTCGACGTTCTTTATATGTACGGAACCCTTGTAACATATAATACAACTTGGTTAAGAATAATCCTTCTAAATCATCTTCCATCAAAAACTCATGTTTGATGCTCAATGTCTCTAAATTGACTAGCCCGGATCTGCGGGCGTTACACATATAAATATATGAATAATCCTTTCTTATTCATTCATATAAAGGCTACAATAGTTGAACACAGTGATTATAGACTATGACCTAATCTAGCAAGAAACGAGGGCGTTACAATTATCTCCACCTTAGGATGATTCCGTCCCCAGAATCATGTAGAAGCAAAAAGATGGGGATAGCGACTCTTCATTTCGCTTTTTGTTTCCCATGTGAGATTTGGCCCTATCGTGTGTTTCCATCGCACTAGCACCAAGTCAATCATATTGTGTCGTAATTTCTTTCTCTTACTGTAACGTCCCGAAAATTTCAACAAATTTAAAACTTTTCAAAATGATCCTTTTACTAATAAAATGTTTACAAAAATAGTGTTCTCAAACATTATTTGAAAATCAGTGTTTTCCCAAGATCCAATCTGTTGTAAAACCCAGGATGTGTACGGTCACGCCTTCGCCTTGCCAAAATCATCTGAAGCACCTGAAACAATAAACTAAAACCGTAAGCACAAAGCTTAGTGAGTTTCCCCCAAAGTACCACCACACAAAACAAAACATAACCGCAAACACTCACGCCTGGCCCTATCAACCTCGGACTGGAATACCAGGCATGTCCACGATGGGTCCAGTCAACCATCAAGTTGGAATACCTAGGGTTTGTTGGCCTACCGCGTCAACCCTACCGCTCCTCCCGAGCATCCGTGCATACGGCTTACAGTCGGTCCGCACCGGGTATCTTGGCCTACCGCATAAAGCAGGACCGCCTCAACCCAACCAAACACAATATGTCGACATATAAACAATCATGATCAAGTAGGCACATAATACAGGCAACAACAATCATACAACTCACTACTGCCCACTAATCTCTAACCACATACTGTCCTACCACCAGCGAACCCCCATAGAATGTGTAACCATAAGTAACAAGAGGTGAGATAGCCACCCGAACCGATAGTCCTACTCTAGAGCCACAACCAAACAAGGAACAGGCAAGAGAGCCTAGACCAAAAGTTCTCAGGCTATCCTACATAACCTCCGACAGTCCCTAAGGGCACTCCATAGATGATAACCAGCAAGCACAGATAATATACAGTTCTATAGGTTATTACCACAAAGCAACAAACTCCATACCAGGAGACGGATCTAACTGATCACTACAACGTATCAGCATACTCAATACCAGAGCACGAATCTAGCATATCACTACAGCATAACAACATACTTAATACTAGAATACATATCTAATAGATTACTACAACATAACAGCATACTTAATACCAAAACACAGATCTAATAGATTACTACAACATAACAGCATACTAAATATCAACAATCCAAGGAATGCATAACCGTATATACTCAGAGGTGAGATAGTCACCCGGACAGGTGATCCTACTCTAAAACCACAACCAAACAAGGAATATGTAAGAGAGCTTAGATCAAGAGTCTTCAGTCTATCCTACATGACTATATACAGTCCCTAAGGCATCCCTCTACTAGCAGATAATCAATACTAGTGGACCGGCATTGGTGCCTTCGACCCACGGGTATAGTGAGGCGAAACTCACCTGGATGTGCGTGCAGAAACCACTGTAGCAATGAAGGAATCTACCAGCTTCAACTAACATCCAATCACCTATAGGAAGATACTTGAGTCAATACCCGATTACAGGTCATAGTCACTTGCAACAGTGACCACCTCACATGAAATGATGATTAGGGTTTCACATGAAATGACGGTTAGGGTTAAGTAAGAACACTTAACCCATTAAGCACTTAATCACTTAAGGGTATGATTGATTAAGGTTTGACTTAGTCATTTTCAGTTGAAATAATAATCTAGTCAGCAGCCCAAATACACGGCCGATTATTGCCTAACATAAAGCTCCCCGATTCAAGGGTTTTTACATAAAATGATAACTAGGGTTAGTGTTCCTCACTTAACCCATTAAGGACTTAATCCATTAAGCCCAATATTGGATCGAGTTAATTGTAGGGAATTATTAAGTTATTATTTTAGGTTCAATTAATAGTTTTAACATGCGTACCGACCAACTCTAAAATTAGGATTTCTTAATATTAAGGTTTTCTAAACCCTAATTAGGGTTCCCAACCCCTAAATTTAATTGATTATCTAATTAAATAAATAAATATATAATTAACAAATTGGGCACCACCCACTGCCACCTCGGGCAGTGGTGGTCGGCGGAGGTCCATGACGGCATAAGGCGGTAGCCACCCGCATACGGCGGCGGTTTGAGTAATATTCCAACAATCCAATGTACATACAATTTTGTACAACACACACACACACTAACACCAAAAGAATAAGAAAAGCCCAATATAACCACCAAAAACGGTGGCCCGCGGCGGCAGGAAGTGGTAGCCACCACCTCACGGTGGTGGTGGTGGGTTCTCTTTTGGTTCCAGGTCAAGCAAACACACACCAATACATGAACTGCAACACAACACATACATACACGTGACACACACACACACACACACACACTAATAAATGCACACAACCACCCTTATATGGGTTGATGGTGGTAGAAAATGGAAATGGCGGCAGAAAGAGCATCACGGGAGGCAGAAAGAGCATCACGGGCGACAGCCACCATGGATGGCTGCCATGGTGGCCCCTTGCGTTTTCCGGCGAAATAACACATCCACACCACGACCCCGACTGAACCTGTACACACACTCATCGACCTAATGATGAAACGCATAAACATGCGAAATTACAACAAACACAACCACCCATGCGGCGGCAAGTGGCGGCAACGGAATAACAAAATCGAATGGAGGTGGAGAAGAGAAAGCTTCGTACGTCAGCTCGTGTTCGTCGTCGTCAGCAGCAGCGGGAGCAGCGGCGGCGGCGGCTTGGCGCTTCACCATAGCGGCAAGGGGGGTTGGCAACGTCCCTCTCTGGTCTTGATGGATCCTCCCGACAATCCTCGACATCGCCGGCAGTAGGAGCAGCGATGGTTCGGCGCAACAGAGGGTGGATGGTGGCGGCGGCTGAGATCGTTTAGGGTTAGGGTTTGTGATGGCTGCGGTTCAAAAATGAAGGGACGATGGAAGGGTGACGGGTATTAACCCGTCTCTTATCAACTTCTACTAATATTTCACTTTCAGTCCCTCCTACATCCAATTTTCTCAATTCAAGTACATAAATTACCAAACAGACCTTGCTTCATGAATTTCTTTACATTTCAAGTCCAATTGATACAATTTAGACTCCAAATTCCTAAAATTATAACATTCAACTCCCCTGCTAACACTGGTCAATTAATACAGACTTGAGGCTAAAATAAAATAAAATATAAAATATATCTCGAGACTTTAGGGCTTATTATTTATTTATTTATTGTGTGACTGTCAAACCAACAAATAATGGGATAAAATAATAACAAGAAAACTCAATTCACTGCTACTTCATACACTAGAGATAGTATAGAGTAAGCAGGGTCGGTCCATAGGAATACGGGACTTCTTATTTAGCCATATTCTCACACATCATACAAACAATATTAAAATGGGGGATTATGTTTGAACTCGAATTAAATCTCATAAATAAACAAGATTAATACTAAAAATCAATAAAATAAATACATTTCCGATTCGGATTCCTATACATGCATTATGTGGTAAGATGTAATATGACTGTGATTCATGTTCAATGTAGGTTGGTAATTTAGATATTAACAAACTCTAATACCCAAGTTGACAAAAGTGTTTTATTCAAAACATGTTCTTCAAATAAAACTTCATTTAATTGATTCAATTCAAACAAGCTCTTGGATCAAATCATTAAATGACATTAAGTTCTTGTAACAATTACCAACAATGTTCAACATTCCTCATAAGCTTGGGATATGAACATTTAATCTTTGATTACACTGATTTTGATCTAATTACAACCAATCAAGTGCATGTTACTAACATCAAATCATAAAACATATACGAATTTCACAATTTGATTAACTAGATTAATAAGAACCCTAATTCATTGATCAAGTGAAAAGAGAACCAATCAAACATGTAATTAAGTCCAAATCAAAGATTACTAGATAATAAACATAAAGTTAAGTGCAAATTACAACTTGACAACAAACACTTAGGAATCCAGAATCAGAAATGATAAAGAAATCAGCCACACATGTCTAAGTTAAACTACAAATTCAACTAGTTTGATCTTCAAATTAACTTACAAAATGTAAAATAAAGTGTTTCCAAGATGCTAGATGATGATATGATACACCAAAATCGTCCCCCTGAAGTCTCTTGTCGAAGTTATTTTTGAATATGCCAGAAGAACATGATAAATCGGAAGTTAAGAATTCAAATTTTGATTAGATCACGTTACACGGCCCATGTAACGTATGCATTGCCATTACACGGCCGTGTAATGACTTTGATGTGGTAAAATACTTCCAAAGTGCGGCCGCGTAACGTATGCCTTACCAAAGCGCGGGCCGTGTAATGCAGTTCATAAAAGTCAATTCCTGATTTTCTTCATTTCTTCAATTTAGCTCCGAAAGTTCCGAAATTTCACCGAGAGCTTCCCTTGACCATCCTAAGCATGCTCCAATCTTCAAATCACCCTGAAACATCCACAAAAAATGGTGAAATATCGATAGATCCTCGATAATGTCTTTAAATGCAAAATGAATGAATATTACACTAAAAATGCAATGCAATGCTATAAATAAATATTAAATTAGCTTATGAAAAGGTGCAATTTATGCACCTAACAAATCTCCCCAAGCTTTAACATTTTCTTGTCCTCATGAAAACAAAACAAAAATTAACCTTGGAAGAGATGAATGCAAATGCAAATGAAGAAATGCAAACATAGAAATAAAAAGAAAGAATGCCTCAAGTTATTTATCCCGACAACATAATCATGATTAAAGAGTTGTCAACCTATACCCCAAACCCATACGAATGTACTGCATTCCAAATCAGCACAGTAGAAGACTTGGAACACAAAGATTTGCCAACTACTTGGTTTAATTGCATAGAACCATAATATAAGGCATCTCTTAGTAACTTTTACTGTCAAGGCAGGTTCATCTCAATCTATAGGGCGTGCTCACTGAAATACTCAACACGTGTATGCACTCGTTTTGCAAGATGTGTGAACTCACTCCTATCAAAGAATCTACACTCGTTATTTAAGGTGGAGGGCACTCGGCGTCGGTAAGGCATATCCCATTCTTCTTAGTTTTCTCTCCATGCTCTTCAATAACTTGCGGTTGTACAATCTTCATATCTTCTTCCAAAATCCGTGTCAACTCTCGGTAATCCATAATATGAGATAAATCCATAACCATAGCAGGAGCGCAAAAGAAATATACAACAGCAAATATACAAAATAGAACCATATAATCATAATTGTTGGCTTCAAAATAAACTTCTAATGCTAAACAAGCCAACAAAATCAAACACAAACGAATTTCCTATGAAAATATCATCATGAAAAATCTGGACAGGCTTGGTTCGGTTTTTTTTTTTAAATACTAGAAAGCAGCATGGATATGTATAAAGACTCAACTTAAATATTACAAAAGAACAAACATAAACTAAAACTTCTTTTTTATTTTTAACTTGAACACAAAACTTGATAAATTGAATTTTCAAGAACTCTTTTATAAATGACAAACACTTGTAGAGATTTGACTTTGAAATCCGCCATTTTGATGATCTCGCGGTTTTGACTTTGGAAAACAAATTAGTTTAAAATAACAATAAACTTCTAATATTTACAACTAGAAAACTAGAATTAAAATAATAAACAACTTTAACAACTGTTCTTTGGACATTGATTTGACTTTAAAATGCATAAAGACTAATGTTGAAAAAGCTGCATAAATCCTATTTATTTATTTTTTTTAATTTTTTTTTGAACCAAGCGAAGATCATGTATAATCCAACAAAAAGTCAATTAGTTTAAACTAAATATTACAAAACAAAACAAAATAAAACAAGCATATATACAAACGATTAACAAAATAAACTAAAAACGAAACTAGACAACCAAATGAACTTTTACGCCTCCTTATGCCTTACCGATTCACACAATAACATACTCACGGGTATTTAAAAGCGCCCTACATTTGATTATCACCTGCTGTGACCGAATTATTTAAGAGGAGTTGCTTGTCATAAAACACCTCAATGCACCGCCACTAAGTGAATAGTAAATAAGTGTGTTCTCAATAGTTCTAAAGTTTCACAAATTAGTGACACCACATGTATAAGGGGTATAAGCAGACAAAACTTTGAACTTGACCATGTATTGTGATAAAAAGTTAAAGGCATTCTAAAGATGAGAAGAAACAGGAGAGAAAAATTCATGAAATGATCTTAAAAACCTAAATGAAAAAGAAAAATATGTTTGTATTTTTATTTTTATTAATGCGATGAATGAATATGCAAATTTTTTTTTGTTTTATGAATATGCATAATACACTCCTCCCCAAGCTTAAAAATGTGCATCGTCCTCGATGCTTGGGAAGAGAGCGGGACAAATTATTGAGGAGGATCTTGAGGTGGGAATGGAGGAGGATATTGATGTGGAAATTATGGATTGTACGGTGGGGGGTAATGTGGATATTGAGGGTAATAAGGTGGTCGTGTAGGTTGACCACCTAAACAAAGTACCCTATGCATGTCGGTCACAAGGGAATCCACATGTTGGTTGTGTTCTTGTTGATTGTCTCGAAAGGTATAAAACTGTTCCCTAAACTCCACCATCTCAGTATTTATCTCACAAACACTATCATAAAGTTCAGAATAATCACGATGCAAACGCCGATTGTCTTCATGCAACCTACGAAATTCTTGCATATACATGTCATGATGGGGATGCATGACAGGGTCTTGCTGCACAGGAGCAGCAGCATCAGGTATGGTTGCATCAGGAGTGGGTTCATCCTCATCAGGACCAGGCTCGGGCATCGGGACACCCAAATTGGAACTAAGGCACCAAACAGTGTTGTGTACGGGGTTTGACAATCGAAGAAGTTCAGCATTGTGATGATTGATGCTGAGATAATCACGGCTATCAACAGCCCAATAAATGGACCCCGTTTCATAATCTGCATGGAACAAATGCATGTTTTTCAAGATGTTTGTCGTAAGGCGAGTTTCTCCTTCAATGACATCGAGACCGGGTGGAAAGCGAATGGCAAGAGTGGGGTGTTTAAGGATAATTGTGATCATACCCCCACAAAGTAACTTACCACTGGTGCTGCGAGATATTTTCAACAATTTGAAAATAATCCATAATCCAAAATCAGAAAGTTGATTTGGGTTGTGGATCATACACCACATAAGCTCTAATTCTTTTTGGCCATCCTTGCTTATCTTATTTTGTGGAAGTACAATAGAGGCAAGGATGCGATGAGTGTCCTTAAGAACAGGATGAATGATACTTGATGCTTTGGCAGCACTTGGAAAATATCTCAATCCTGAAATTCTCTCCCAAAAACTTTAGCATCCTCTTGAAATGGAAAATTAAAAATGTGAAATGGGCTGTAAGTGTTAGCAATTTGAGCACCAATGAGTTCACATAATTGATTTTTATGCAATTGATAATTACGACTAAAAGCACGGAAGGAAAGATACTCGGTTCGATGATTGAAGGAAACAAATGACAGAAATTCAAGAGTAGATTGGACATACCCAACATCATGCAATGATAACAACCCTTCCCGTCCAATATTTCTGAACAAAACACGGACTTGGTCATGTATATGAAGGGACTCAAGAGTGGGCATGTCCGCGAATTTCTGTGATGCTCGCCCACAACTAAGAAAATTATGATACCTAGTTTCTTGTTGAGAGTCTAAGAATGCCAATGCACCAGAATTTTGGCGTGGAGGGTTTGGGTCACGTTGACTAACACTAGAGTCAACGACTCTAGAACGCTTGGAATTACCCTTTTTACCACCCCCATGAGATGATGAAGCCATGTGAGAAACAATTTAAGCACAAAAATTTGACTCTTAAGCACAATGCACAACCACTTTAAATGACCAACACACAATTAACACTCAATTTGACAGTTTAAGCACAAAGATTAAAGCTTTTTGACTAACAATGCAAAGTCAAAGAATGGGAAGGAGAATACCCGATTTAGAGCTTGAATCACGAAATTGGTGCTTGAAATCACTTGTAATCTCTTCACAATGCTTCCCCAAGCTTATCCTACAAACAATTTGAAGAAATTTAAACAAAATTTTTGGACCCCAATTTCTAGGGTTCTTCCAAAAATCCGAAAATCACCATTAAAATGGTGTTTTGAAGGTGCTGACTGTAAGGAAGAAGAAAGGGGAATGAAAAATCATACCTTGCTTGCCTAAATCCATGGAAAATCGAAGATTTTAGGTGTATGTGTGTGTGTTCGGTCGTGTGTGATGAAGGGTAGTAAGAGGGAAGTCACGATTGGAATGAGGAAAAGAAGGAGTTGCACATTCTTAAAGAAATCTTGTTTTTTTTGTACAGGCCTCGTTACACGGCCCGTGTAATGGCAAGAGTAATGTTACACGGCTGTGTAACGCCAAAAATCCGGAATCTATCTTCATTACACGGCCGTGTTTTGCAAAGGCATGCATTACACGGCTCGTGTAATGTTCTGAGAGTTACACCTTGATTTTTCTTATTTCCGCACCCGCTCACTTCCAATCTTCATAAAAATTATTTTTAGACTCCCTTAATTATTCTAAGAACCTTGGAACACAAAAACTCAAAAGAAAATGTCCAAACGAAAATTTTACAAAAATGACGAAAATACCCCCAAGTTGCCTCTCGGGTAGTTGCCCTTGTTTAAAGTCGGTAGCTCGACATGGACCCTAATTATTTGTCAATATTGGTACTTTGGATCCGTTACTTCCTCCACTTCTTTGTTTTTGACTTGAAATCCTTCATAATAAGGCTTCAAACGATGACCGTTTACTTTAAAGATCTTCCCGGTTTTCTCACTTGTGATTTCTATTGCACCATGCTCAAAAACATTAGTGACAACAAATGGTCCCACCCAACGGGACCTTAATTTACTAGGAATTAATTTAAAACGAGAGTGGTAAAGTAATACCTTTTGACCTTTTTGAAATACCTTGCGTGAAATCATATTGTCATGGTATGCCTTCGTCTTTTCTTTGTAAAGGACTTCATTCTCATACGCTTCATTGCGTATCTCCTCAAGCTCTTGTATGTCAAGCTTCCTCTTCTTTCCCGATTCACTTAAATCCATATTGAATTGTTTGACTGCCCAATAAGCTTTATGCTCCAACTCAACGGGTAATCGACATGGCTTCCCAAAAACAATGCGGTATGGAGACATCCCAATCGAAGTTTTGAATGCAGTGCGGTACGCCCACAAAGCATCATCAAGGCGTGTACTCCAATATTTCCTTGTTGTATTCACAGTTTTCTCCAAAATACCCTTGATTTGTCGATTGCTCACTTCGGCTTGTCCATTTGTTTGCGGATGGTATGCTGTGGAGACTTTATGAGTAACACCATATATCTTCAAAACACTCCCGAGCATACGATTGCAAAAATGTGTACCACGATCACTGATTAAGGCCTTTGGAACACCAAATCTGGAAAAGATGTTAGCCTTCAAAAAATCTATCACAACTTTTGAATCGTTAGTACGGGTAGCTTTTGCTTCCACCCACTTGGAAACATAATCCACAGCCAAAAGGATATAAGTAAAACCCAAAGATGATGGAAAAGGTCCCATGAAATCAATGCCCCAAACATCAAAAATTTCACAAACTAAAATGGGACTTAGGGGCATTTGATTCTTTGAATTTAAAGAACCCATCTTTTGACACTTATCACAGCTTGCACAAAAAACATAAGAGTCATGGAAAATACTTGGCCAGTAAAATCCACTCTCTAATACTTTTCTTGCAGTTCTTTGAGGACCAAAATGCCTTCCACAAGCATAAGAGTGACAAAATGCTAAGATAGAAGATACCTCATGTTGTTGCACACATCGTCTAATCATTTGATCAGCACAATATTTCCACAAATATGGCTCATCCCATACATACCTCTTGGCTTCTTTCTTGATTTTGTCTTTTTGCCATCGAGTCAAATCTGGTGGAAATTGATTTGTGACAATGTAGTTCACAATATCGGCATACCATGGGGCAACTTTTGCTGAAAATAGGTTCTCATCGGGAAATGAATCATGAATGGGAGTTGAATAATCGGGAGAAACAATCCTGCTAAGATGATCAGCCACAAGGTTTGACTTTCTGCTCTTGTCCTTGATTTCGATATCAAACTCTTGTAAAAGTAATACCCATCGAATGAGTCTAGGCTTCAAATCCTTCTTTTCAAGTAGGTACCTAATAGATGCATGATCAGAATAAACAATCACTTTAGAACCTAATAAATATTGACGGAATTTCTCTAAAGCAAAGACAATAGATAGCAATTCTTTCTCAGTTGTCGAATAATTGGCTTGTGCACTATCAAGTTTCTTTGAAGCATAATAAATGACATGAGGAACTCAGTCTTTTCTTTGCCCCAATACTGCAACAACCGCATGATTGCTAGCATCACACATGATTTCAAAGGGCAAACTCCAATCCGGTGATTGAAGTATTGGTGCTGAGATTAACAACTCCTTCAACTGATCAAAAACTTGCTTGCACTGTTTGGAAAATTCGAACTCTGCATCCTTTTGTAGAAGCTCACACATGGGACGGGATATCTTGGAAAAATATTTGATGAATCTTCTATAAAAACCTGCATGACCAAGAAACGAGCGTACCTCACGAACACAAGTGGGGTAAGCTAAAAACTTAATGACATCTATTTTTGCGTTGTCTACCTCTAGACCCTTAGAAGACACAATATGACCAAGTATGAGACCTTTATCAACCATAAAATGACACTTTTCATAATTCAAAACAAGGTTGGTCTCAATACATCTTTGCAAAATCTTTTTCAAATTACCCAAACACTCATGAAAAGAATTACCATATACAGTGAAATCGTCCATAAACACTTCAATGATTTCCTCAACATACTCCGAAAAAATACATACCATGCACCTTTGAAAAGTTGCGGGAGCATTTCAAAGTCCAAAAGGCATCCGCCTATATGCAAATGTTCCGAAGGGACATGTGAAAGTGGTTTTTTCTTGATCCTCGGGTGCAAAGGGTATTTGATGGAAACCGGAATACCCATCTAAGCAACAATAGTGTGTTTTTCCCGGTAACCTTTCCAACATTTGGTCAATTAAGGGAAGTGGGAAATGGTCTTTCCGGGTTGAGGAATTGATTCTTCTATAATCAATGCAAACTCTCCACCCGTTTTGCACACGGGTGGGGACTAATTCACCTTGTTCATTCTTTGTAACGGTAATACCTATCTTCTTTGGTACGACTTGGACCGGGCTTACCCATTTGCTATCCGATATAGGATAGATCATCCCCGCATTCAACAACTTTAAAATCCCTTTTTTCACAAGCTCCATCATTAGAGGGTTCAAACGTCTTTGAGCTTCTCGGGAAGGCTTGTAATTTTCTTCCATAAGGATTTTATGCATGCAAAGTGAAGGACTTAGCCCTTTGATGTCGGCTATAGTCCACTCAATATCTTCCTTATACTCTTTCAAGGTGGTGACAAGCTCTTCTTCTTCTTTTGTTGACAACTTTGTGGAAATGATCACTGGTAAAGTCTCTTTCTCTCCAAGATACGCATACTTGAGGTGCTCGGGTAAAGTCTTGAGCTCCAATTCTAGTGCCTGCACAATAGAAGGAACGAGTTTCTCATTAGGCATCGATAACTTCAGTTTCGGAACATCAAACCTCATTTTCTTCTTTTCATCCATGCAAGATACAACTTCCATAATCTCTTCATCAATTTTAAATTGCTTGGCAAGTTTTTCCACTTTTACCTTTTGAAGATTCCTGTCTAAAATGAGAGCTAACACATCAAGATTAGACAAACCAAAACACTCCTCTGTCAATGGTTCTATGATATCCACAAAATTCAAATATGAAATATCACTTGGATATCTCATAGCATCATAGATGTTGAAATTTATCACTTCTCCATCAAATTCCATGGACAATGTACCATCATAAATATCAATTTTTGTCCTGGCTGTTTTCAAAAAGGGTCTTCCTAGAAGAATTGAACTCAAATTTGGTGAGTCATCATCATCCATGTCAAGGACATAAAAATCTGTTGGAAATACTAATTCATTCACTTGGACTAACACATATTCTAGCACACCTTTTGGATGTACTAAAGATCTATCAGCCAACTGAATGATCACCCCGGTCTTCTTCAATATGCCAATATTTAAAGTTTTGAAAATAAAAATATGGCAAAACATTGATAGAAGCTCCAAGGTCTAGCATAGCTCGTGGAACATGAAGATTACCTAACTTGCAAGGAACCGTGAAAACACCCGGATCCTTACATTTTTGAGGTAGTCTTTTCTGTAACACTGCAGACACATTTTCTCCTACTTTGACAGTTTCATTCCCTTTCAATCTTTTCTTAGATGTGGATAATTCCTTAAGGAATTTAGCATACCTAGGGACTTGTTTGATGGCATCAATAAGAGGAATATTTACCTCAACCTTTCTGAACATCTCCATGATTTCATTGTCCTCTCTTTCATGCTTTGACGTGCTTAACCTTATGGGAAATGGAGGAGGAGTGACTTTTGCTTCAATGGGAATTTGCTTTGAGGGTGTTTTTGACTTCTCTTCCTCTTTCTCAAACTCCATCTTCTCTTCTTCTTCAATCATCTTAGGACCTTCATATTCTTTGCCATTTCTCAAAGTGATGGCACATGCACTATGCTTTGGATTCTTTTCGGTTTGTGCGGGTAGTTTGCCTTGTGACTCCAATTTACTCACAGAAGTGGCGAGTTGAGTCATTTGTTGCTCCAAAGTCTTGATACTCGCCTTGGTCTCATTTTGAAATGTTTGAG